CTTCTGAAAGCAAAACTCTAATTTGTATTGACTTTCTGCGATGTATCTGTATGTGTCAGCCAGCAGTTGCTATGTGCATCAGGACAGCAGTGACCAAAGGCAGTAGCTGTGTGGTTTGTTAGTTTTTTTTTTTTCCCCTGCCTTCTTTGTGAGGAAAGCCTAACATCTTAATCAGAAATAGCATGTGCCTGTAGGAGTCTGATGTTTTTATCATTATAATTTCCACCTGTGCAGACGGCAAAGCACCTTTGCCCTGGGACAGATGCTCACCACGCATTACTCACCATTGGTTCTCTCTCATCTCCCAGAGTGTGAATTTTCCAAGTGGTGTGTTAGAGCTGGCTTGTACCACCTCATGAGAGCCAGTATTTTACATACCTCTTCTCGACTCCATGTTCAGTGATGTCGAGGGATTGAAAGCAGCCAGATTGGGAGTATTTGTAAATTAGAGCTTCCTTCCCCCTGCCAAGGAGGCTGGTTGGTAAACATGCACTGGCAAACCACTGGTTCCTTCCTTCCTGATGTAGCCTCCCAGAACTTATCTTTGGCATGTAGAACTTCAGTACCCGCACAACTCAAGCTAAATATTTCTAATTCTTTGTACCTGACATCTCTGATTCATTTATTGACTTATTTATATTTGACCACATGCCAGGCACTATGTTACAGTTCCAGGGTTCAAAAACAACATGCCTTATCCTTTAAAAAAAAAAACTCTGAAGGTCGGTGCAGTAGCTCAAGCCTGTAATCCCAGCACTTTGGGAGGCCAAGGCAGGAGGACTGCTTGAGCCCAGGGTTTTGAGATCAGCCCGGGCAAGGTGGCAAGTGCCCGTGATCCCAGCTACATGGGTGACTGTGGGAGGAGGACTGCCCAGGAAGTTGGGGCCGCAACATTTATATCATCCCCAAAAGAAACTACATATGTCTCAGCTTTTCGCTTTCTCCCTGCTCTCCACCCACCCGTTTTTTTTTTTTCCTTTTCTTTTTTTTTTTTTTTTGAGATGGAGTTTCGCTCTTGTTACCCAGGCTGGAGTGCAACGGCGCGATCTCGGATCACTGCAACCTCCCCCTCCTGGGTTCAGGCAATTCTCCTGCCTCAAGCCTCATGAATAGCTGGGATTACAGGCACGCACCACCATGCCCAGCTAAATTTTTTGTATTTTTAGTAGAGACGGTGTTTCACCATGTTGACCAGGATGGTCTCGATCTCTTTACCTCGTGATCCACCTGCCTCTGCCTCACAAAGTGCTGGGATTACAGGCGTGAGCCCCCGCACCCGGCCTCTCCCCCCTTTTTAATCACTAATCTACTCTGTCTCGATAGAATTGCCTATTCTGGACATTTTACTTAAACGGAATCATATAATATAGCCTTTTGTATCTGTCTTCTTTCACTTAGCACAGTGTTTTCTTTTTCTTTTCTTTCCTTTTTTTTTTTTTGAGACCGAGTTTTGCTCTTATTGCCCAGGCTGGACTACAGTGGTGTGATCTCAGCTCACTGCAGCCTCTGCCTCCCAGGTTCAAGCGATTCTCCTGCCTCAGCCTCCCAAGTAGCTGGGATTACAGGTACCCACCACCATGCCTGGCTAATTTTTTGTATTTTTAGTAGAAATGGGGTTTCACCATGTGGCCAGGCTTGTCTTGAACTCCTGACCTCAGGTGATCTACCTGTCTCAGCCTCCTAAAGTGCTGAGATTATAGGTGTGAGCCACTGTACCCCGGGTTCAAGCGGTTCTCCTGACTCAACCTCCCAGGTAGTTGGGATTACAGGCACCCGCCACCACATACAGCTATTTTTTTGTATTTTTAGTAGAGATAGGGTTTTGTCACATTGGCCAGGCTGGTCTTTAACTCCTGGCCTCAAGTGATCCGGCCACCTTGGCCTCCCAAAGTATTGGGATTACAGGCGTGAATCACTGCAGCTGGCCTGCACAATGTTTTCAAGATCATCCATGTTGTAGCATTTATCAGTACTTTATACCTTTTTTAAAAATAGACAATTATTTTGTAGAACAGTTTTATTTTTATTTATTTATTTTGTAGAGCAGTTTTAGATTCACAGCAAAATTGAGAGGAAGGTACAGAAATTTCCCATATCCTCCCACACACATGTGCATAGTCTCCCTATTATTAATATCCCCCACCGCAGTGGTGCATTTGTTACAATTTATGATCCTGCATTGACACATCACAATCACCCAAAGACCATAATTTACATTAAGGCTCACTCTTGGTGTTACGCATTTTATGGATTTGGACAGATGTATAATAACATGTATGTACCATTACGACATCATGCAGAGGAGTCTCACTGCCTTAAATATCCTCTTTGTTCTACTTGTTGTAGGGGAGGTAATAGACCTTTTCTCTTCGATTTCTAGGTTGATGTTTGAGAACATTATAACAAAAAACAGATTAGCAAGAGGAAAGCGTGCAAACGTAGTCACATCCAAACATGCTTTTCTCTTGATAATCTGAATTTGGAAAATAACTGGCAGGAAATTTTTGTCTTCTTTTTTCAACCAGGCACTACAAACGAAGGTCTGGGGGGCTGACTTTATCTAGTGAGGATTTTTACCTTTGCAAGCTTTTATCAGTTTTGCTAGAATCTCATCTGCAGCTCTGGAGCAAATGGGGTGTTTTAGTCTCCTCATCACTCCATGTTGGGCTCCAGAAAATGTTGGGAGTAGAAAAAAAAAATCTTTTTCTCTACTCATTTTAGGTTTATGGCTGAGACGCCTTTAACAGAAGACAAATTAACACGAGAAGAGCATACATATTCATTTCATATAAGCTTTATGTGACATGGGAACCACTATAAAGAAATAAAGACTCAAATAAATGGTTAAACCTATGTATCTCTATGCTAGGTTTGATGCAAAGTGGATGGTTATGGGTAAATGTGCTAGGTCAAAAAGGGTATGACCTAACGGTGACAAACTGAGGGAAATGTAGTGAGATCTGTTTGTTCAGATTCTCTCTATGACCCTTTGTCTTCAGAGATATGGATGTTCCTATCCTATAGGTACAGGGAGGTTACCTCTCACATGGGGATCTTGAAGTCAGAAAATTCACCCTAGGTTTTACGACCTGCTTCAGAAAAGAGGAGTGTGGGAAGGGTGAGAGTGACCCTTCCTGTTTCTGTTGCTTTCTCAGATAGCACGGTGCCATGTTTTGGGGAACGATATTCTGAACCCAATCACTGTTCATCTCCTTCTTTAACCCCTGGCAACCGCTGATCTTTATCCTGTCTCTACAGTTTTGACTTTTCCAGAATGTCATATACTTGAGGTCATGCAGTATGCAGCCTTTTCAGATTGCCTTCTTTCAGTTAGTGTATGCATTTAAGTTTCTTCCCTGTCTTTTCATGGCTTTCCCCCTTATTCCCTTGTAGCACTGAATGCTATTCCATTATCTGGATGTACCAGTTTATTTATCTAGACACCTACTGCAGGTCATCTTGGATGCTTCAAAGTTTTGGCAACTATGAATAAAGCTGCTATAAGTATCTGTGTGCAGATTTTTTGGTAGATATAAGTTTTCAGAATGTTTGAGTAAATATCCAGAAATGCAGTTGCTGAATTATAAGATAAGAGTATGTTTAGTTTTGTAAGAAACTGCTGGACTATTTTCTGAAATGACTATACCATTTTGCATTCCCACCAACAATCAAAGAAAGTTCCTATTTCTCCATGTGCACTTTATCTCTTTTTATAACTGCCTAACATTCCGTTGTATGAATATATCACGTTACTATTTTTTGAAGAAATGCCAAACTATTTTCTACAATGTCTATCCCAATATACCTTCCACTAGCAATGTATAAGGGTTTCAATTTTAATACATTACCAGCAATTCCTTTTATTTTCTGATTTAAAAAATTATGGTAATTCTGGTGGCTGGTATGTCATTATGATTTTGATTTTCTATTTATTTATTTATTTATTAGAGATGGGGTCTCACTATGTTGCCCAGTCTGGAGAGCAGTGGCTATTCACAGGCATTATCCCACTACTGATCAGCATGGGAGTTTTGACCTGCTCCGTTTCCGACATGGGCTGGTTCACCCCTCCTTAGGCAACCTGGTGGTCCCCTGCTCCCAGGTAGTCACCATATTGATGCCGAACTTAGTGCTGACACCCAATCGGCATAGCACACTACAGCCCAGAACTCCTGGGCTCAAGCGATCCTCCCACCTCAGCCTCCTGAGAAGCTGGGACTACAGGTATGCCGCCCCCAGCTATGATTTTGATTTTTACTTTTATGACCCCCCGAAGCTGTTAAACATCTTTGCATGTACTTATTGATCATTTATATTTGTGTATCTTCTTTGGAGATACATTTATTCAAATCCTTTTTCCATTTTTTAAATGGATTTTTTTTCTTTTGTTAGTGAGTTGTAAGAGTGATTTATATATTCTACATACCAGACCTTTTTCAAATATGTGATTTAAAAATATTTTCTCCAATTTTGTAGGTTGTATATTCATTTTCTCAATGATGTCTCTCTCTCTCTCTCTCTCTCTCTCTCTCTCTCTGCTTTTTTTTAAAGACAGGGTCTTGCCGGATGCAGTGGCTCATAACTGTAATCCCAGCACTTTGGGAGGCTGAGACAGGCAGATTGCCTGAGGTCAGGAGTTTGAGACCAGCCTGGCCAACAAGGTGAAACACCACCTCTACAAAAAATGCAAAAATGAGCAGGGCATAGTGGCACTTGCCTGTAGTCCCAGCTACTCGGGGGGCTGAGGCAGGAGAATTGCCTGAACCCGGGAGGCAGAGGTTACAGTAAGTCAAGATCATGCCATTGCACTCCAGCCTGGGCAACAAGAATGAGACTCCATTTCAAAAAAAAAAAAACAAAGACAGGGTCTTGCTCTGTTGCACAAGCTAGAGTTCAGTGGTGCAATCACAGCTCTCTCTGCAGTGATGACCTCCTGGGCTCAAGTGATCCTCCCACCTTGGCCTTCCGTTTACTAAGATGGACAACACTGGAAATGAAAAGCCAGGTTTAGGGAAAATAATTAACATTTGTTGATTTTTTTTAGATGTTTATTTGACATCTAGAAGAGATGTAGAGGCCATACTGGATATGGAAGTCTATAGTTTGGGGAGAGAGCAAAGCTGGAGACATAAAATTTGGAAGTCAATAGCATATTTGTCCTTTAAGGTCTTGAGACTTGATGAGATTACATAGGAGCAGAGTCTAATAGAGAGCTAATGAGGTCACAATACTGAACCCTCATGTCTTTATGACATTTGGAGGTCGGTAAAAGAGGATTCAGTAAGTGGGAGAAAAACCAGAAGACAACTTGACTTTAGAGCTGGGTAAGTAAAAATGGAAATAACGTTAGTAGTTATAGCAATAAGGATGACTGTAACACAAGGTAGAGAGGTGTCTTCATTAAGAAATTCCTTGATAATTATATTGGAATCTGTCTCTTAGGGTAAAAATTTGAATAAAATTTAAAAAAAGGATTGCCAATGTGCTATTCATAAAAGATAAACAGGAATTTGGAGGACAAGGAGAATTTTAGTGAGGTCATTGGGAATAAGGGCAGAGTGGATGACTGAACAACATGGTAGGGTGACTGAAGAATTTCTAGAGTTTAAGTCATTCTAATTGCTAGAAGTAAATTCATCTGTTTCCCCAAGCCTTCAGTAATGCGTGCTACATGAAAAAAAGCTTATAGCGACTAGTGTGTGTGTGTGTGTGTGTGTGTTCATGTGTATGACAATTAAGACACTTGTGTAGATTGGATTCAGAGCTGAGCAGAGAGGAGGGGCAGAAGAGGCCACCTGTCTTGAGAGAGGAGTGGAATGTAGTTTTATGTAGGAATAAAAATTTGAAGGCAGAATGGACATAGGAAGGGAAGTCACTGGGAATGCAGAGACATCTCAGGGTCTGGGATTGAACTAGCATTTAGGTTATCTATGACCTAGTAGCTGCCTGATTCCTCCATCATGTTAACTGCTTTGGACCAGGATCTCTGGCTACTTAACTGTCAGTATTTATGCTGATTTTCTTAGTTGCTTGGACTCCCATTCCTGCCTGCTGCTGGACAATGCTGGTGGGCTATCACCCTTGCTCTGGCAGTACTCTTTCCTTTCAAATAGGCCAAGTAAGATTGATGTGTATTTCCTGCTTCTAATGAAGTACAAATAAATTCCATGGGATATGACCTCCTCTGATGCAAAGAATGTATCTTGATATGTTTTCAGCTGCCCAGCTTTCAAAATACACCCAGTACTTTTTCCCACTACTAGGTTTGCCTTGTTTTTGTCAATAGTGGTATTAATTTTTTGTGTCATCACTTGTATAAATTAACTCCAAATTAAAAGAAAATCTTTTTTTTTGTTCTTTCTAAAAAACAGTTTAATTTTTAAGACCTTTGCTACCTTTTAGATAATGGCCAGTTGATTGTATTTTTTATAGACTCTGAATCTTTATTTCAATATCTGAAGACTAGACAGAGGATATGGAAAAAAAGACTAATTATGTTCAAGTAACAAAAAAAATACTAGACTTCTAAATTAGTTTTCAAATTCCCCAATATTTCTTCACAAATGGTTAGATTAAACAATGCTATTTCTCTGGTTTCTACCTAACCTTGTTCCTTCTTTAACTAACTGCCTCTTATCTCTCCCTTTCTTCTTTCCTTCTTTTATTCCCAAATGAGTCTCATAACCCGCAAAGCTAAAGAAATTAGATACACTGAACCACTCTTGAATAGAGGAAGAGCCCAGATCTGATCTATTAATAAGTTCAAATCTCAGCTTTCCCACTTCCCATTCTTGTGACCTTCATAAGTTGTTTAACCTTTGTGCTTTCGTTTCCTAACCTTCAAAATGTAGATAATAATAGTACCTTATCACATAGGGCTGTTAGGGAAACTAAAATAGCTAATACACACATAAAGTACTTAGAACAATGCCTAACATAAGCTGCCCTTACTCTCCACATTGCCTCAGATTTAAACAAGAAACTAAAGCTAGAGGGAAATAATTAAAGTATATTCTGCAGTGTTGTCTTTTTGTACAGAAGTAGCTGGGGCTGGGAGAAACATTAAATGTATTTGAAGAATAGATGAAGAAGAGCCAGGTAATAGCTCATCTTTCTTAAGCTAAGTTAGAAAATACCAGTTAGTTTTCTTTCTTTTCTTTTCCTTTTTTTTTTTTTTGTAGTGGGGTCTAGCTGTGTTTCCCAGGATGGAATGCAGAGGCATGATTAGAGCCCGCTGCAGCTTCGAACTACTGGACTCAAATAATCCTCCCACCTCAGCCTCCCAAGTAACTGGCACTGTGCCTGGCTTATTTTTAAAATTTTGTGTAGAGATGGGATCTTGCTTTGATTGTTGCTTAGGCTGGTCTCAAATTCCTGACCTCAAGTGATCCTCCTGCTTCAGCCTCTGGTTTACGTTCTTCATTGCTCTTCATCTGTGTGACTTTGCTACTTACATGTCATTGAAAAAAGAGCAGTTACTTTGATGTCTGCAGGCCTCATGCTGGTCTTGCCACTAAGAAAAAGAAAGTGACTTTGAGCAATTTATTTAACTTTGGAAGTCCTGATTTCTTATATCTAAAATGGAAATAGTAACTTAGAATCAAATGAACTTTGGAAATGCACCATGAAAACATTATCAAGACCCACCTTTTTCTGGAAGCTTTGTAATATTCTGTGATTGCCAAATGAAGGATGGATATGATTTTACAAAGTTCATCTGGTCTTTGCTGAGTGACTTACCCACACAAGTTCTATCCTATGTTTCTAGGAAAATTACTTCAATTAATCCCTGAATTGTAGCCCTCTCCCTGGCATAGCTGTTCGATACTCCAGAACAGGAGACAGCAATCTTGGTTTATAAAAGGGAGGATACATTTTTTTGTTCAGCTATAATCACAGGGGAGTTTTGGAGGTGGGTAGAAATTTTTCCAGAGGAGAATAATTTCCTCTTCTTTATTCAAAACAGAAAGCAAATACAGATTAACAACTCCTACCTGTGCAATGGCAAAGGAAATCCAATTTCGTCATGGTCCTTCTCTGTTGGCTGCTTATCCTTAGGGCCAGGCACTTGAAAAATCTCTGAATCACCAACAGACTAGAGTATAATAGCACTTTTGGAGCAGTGATGGTCTGTCTTGTTAGAGGCCTTTGGGGGACACTTTAATCCTTGTATTAATAATACAATAGCCTGAAAATGGCTTCTTGGAAATCATCTGAATGTGCCATTACAAACCCCCCATGACTTAGAAATCCAACTCAACTGACTAAAAACTCCTTTCCTGATTTAGATAAGAATGATGTCAGGGCATGAACAATATTATAACACCTTAAAACACTTTTCTTTTTTCTTGGAACTGGCAGACACTATAAGTTTATATTAGAAACCTATCACCTACAGGATTTCATTGGAAAAGCCGTAGCTATTATAAATATTCTCTTTTAGTAGCTAAAACCATAAGCCATTTCTTTTGGCCTTTCTAGGAGTGCCTCTCAAAAATCGTCAGACTGCTTTACAGTAAATCAAAACAAGGGACCAGTTGCCCTTGCACAGGTCCTTGGTTTTCTTTGTGGTATGTTTGTGTAATTTTTTTCATTAACTGGTTCAGGCATTTTGGCAATTTCAGTGCTAAAGGCAGATTAATGGAAGTTTAATTCAATAAACTGCATAGGATTAAATCCATTGCCCAGAGTGAAGTGATGTGAGCTATTTTAATAAAGGTCTTAGCTTTTCCTCTTTCCTCCCAACACCCATGTTGGCTCCTGCCTTGACAGAATTATTAGTATATCTCTCAGGGCTATTTTCCTGATTGTGCAGAGTTTGTAACCAAGGTGGCCTATTTGATCCATTTAGTTTTTGTGGAGGTTTGTGCTTAGCTGAATGGCTTTCTGTAAAGCATTAGTAGATGTTCTTTCCACCTAACCACAGGGAAAAGCAGTGAGGAAAGTGCTTCCTTTTTCAGATGAAGGAACTGATGTTTTGTATTAAAAGAAAAAGTCAGAAAGGAATTAGTAGGATATTGGTGGAAATAAGTCTTGGGTGGGAAAACTCTCAAGACTCTGGGAGAGCAGACTCCCAAAAGAGAGAGCTAGATGCCAATGAAAGAATTAATCACACAGTTCACATAAATTGAACAAGAAAAACAAATTACACTTAGCAAAGCAGGAGGGAAAAATTATAACTATAAATGCAAAAATTAATGAATTAGGAAAATAACAAAATTGGCTGGGCATGGTGGCTCATGCCTATAATCCCAGCACTTTGGGAGGCTGGGGAAGGCAGATCACCTGAGGTCGGGAATTCAAGACCAACCTGACCAACATAGAGAAATCCCTGGCCAACATGGAGACAGACCGTCTCTACTAAAAAGTACAAAAATTAGCTGGATCTGGTGGCACATCCCTGTATCCCAGCTACTTGGGAGGCTGAGGCAGGAGAATTGCTTGAACCTGGGAGGTGGAGGTTGCAGTGAACTGAGATTGTACCATCGCACTCCAGCCTAGGCAACAAGAGTGAAACTCCATCTCAAAAAAATAAAAATAAATAAAAGAAAATGACAAAATTATTAAATACATCCCATCATATTTTTATAATAAGAAAACAGTTATAATAAATAAAAATATTCAAATAAGTTACTAGCTCATCTATCTGTGAAAAATAGAGAAAAAACACAAATATTTAATTAGGAATGAGAAAAGTGAAATAACCACATACAAGAGATCAAAAAAAGTCTTAAAGAGTAGGCTAGTTTATATGAAGACCTTAATGAAGGAAATTGTTTTGTAGGAAAACATGAATTATCAAAATCAATTCAAGAAAAGTTTAAAAACCTGGCCAACTGAATATTCATGAAAAACATGAGAATACTGAAAAATCTTTAGAAAAGATTCCAAACCAGATAGTTTCACATAAGAGTTTTTTTTAACTCTTTAAGCCTCAGGTGAAGCCTATTATTTCCGCTGTTCTGGTATTGTTTTTTTGTTTTTGTTTTTGTTTTTTTTTGGGGGGGGGAGGAAGGCAGGAAGGGAGGGAAGAAGGACGGTAGGGAGGAAGGAAGGGATGAAGGAAGGAAGGAAGGGAGGAAGCGGGGAGGGAGGGAGGGAGGGAAGGGAAGGAAGGAAATCAAGCAATGAGAGAGACATTGCCGACCTGGATCTAGAGGTTTACAAGTTGATTTCTTTTTTTTTGAGAGAAGAAAAGAAAAAAAAAATAAGTAAAGGAGAGGAAGAAAGAGGAAGAGAAAGAGGGAGAGTAAATGGAAATATTGCTTTATTTGGAAAAAAATTGAGTATTAATAATGGCCAATCAATGTTTCATTTAAACTTA